AGTAATGCAAGATATGTAAACATTATTAAATTGGCTAGTGTTCCATTTATTAAAGTGGCCAGTGATTTCAATAGGCAGCAGCAGCCTAGTCTATGTCTATGTCTATAGGCAGCAGCCTCTAATGTGCTAGTGATGGGCTGTTTAACAGTCTGATGGCCTTGAGATAGAAGCTGTTTTTCAGTCTCTCGGTCACAGCTTTGATGCACCTGTACTGACCTCACCTTCTGGATGATAGCGGGGTGAACAGGCAGTGGCTCGGGTGGTTGATGTCCTTGATGATGTTTTTTGCCCCCAACCTACCAGCCATGACAAAACCTCATGTACCTAGCAAGAGACAGCAATAGTGAGATGTCAATCATGTCAATCATGTCAATGTTAATGATTAGCCAACATATAGCCTCCTGAGACCCAGCAATTCATTTTTGTCCTCTCTAGTGGACATCAGTTCTTGGTCCGTATCTCTGAGGCAATACAAGCCACTGTATTAAGTCCTGTTGTCCTTTGAGAGGACATTCTTGGCTTTTCAATGATTCCACATGTGTGGGGGTGTGACCTTGACAATTTTATCTTCCTGGCTGCCGTCAAAATGTGTACATTTTATGTAAATTTTAAAATAGGTGTGTGTAATTATGAATTGTCATCTTTTGTGAGTTTGATTTTCAAATTGTTTCTAGTAAGTGAATATCTCAAGAATAGTTCAGTGAGGACTGTGTAATAAGAGCTAAATAAGAGCTTATCAAGAAATATCCTCTGTAGTGGACACCCGTATGCTGCAACTATGTTTTCCATCTACTGTACCCATTGACTGTAATGTTAATTTTTTTCACCTACTGTACCCATTGACTGTAATGTACATGTTTTAATGTTTACGTTTCTTTCTTGGTAATGCTCAGGACAGTATAAGGAAAATACAGCAGGTAGAAAAAACTACTTTCACCCCCAAAAACAAACATTTGCCCATAAAACGTGCAAAGAGTGAGATATGTGGCTGACACTTTTCAAGTCGGGAGAAAACCTAAATGGGCATGTACTAATAGAGTTTCATCACTCTACCTTGTTTCTGTTTGAAGAAATTGAAGGTGTTACAATTGTCCCCGGTCTCGCCTACTGCTTGTTCTCCTCATTATTTTTAAGTAAAGCGTATTTCCATGTCTTTCCCCATGGTATGGAGTTGTTTTTGAAACCTTATACTGGGCCGACCTTGTAGCCCTGTCATATGTAAACCCCGGGAGTGAGAAGCTCTGAAGTGGACGCCAGCCCTCCCAACATGTCTGTCATCATCACCACTTTACAGAGTTCACTGAGGTTGAGCTAATTTATTTCATTTTGTTCCTCTTTGCCCCTATGTTTGTAGCAGAGTTATTATCCAATATTCAACCCTCAATTACATCAGTGAAACAAGGCTGATGTGCCCTGGGTGAGCACTGAGCATATTAGATCCTGAAACTCCTCCAGCGTTTCCACGTTTACAAAATGGTTACCAAGACCCCTCTAAGGAATTGTTGTAGCCAGGGTGGAATTCACTGGTTGCGGAACTACTCACACTGTGTGCTTGTCGTCTTATGCTACTAGGCAATGTAGTGGTTTTGTGTGTTTAACTAACTATTTTGGGGTGAGAACTGATGAGTAAGTAAATGTGTGTGTACTTTAAATTATGTGGATCAGTGTGTGGGTCTGTGTGTGTTGATATGCGGTGTGGTGCTGCTTATGACATTAACCTCAAGCGGGTCACTGAGCTAGGAAGCCATCAGCTTTGCCTTACAAATTCTATAAATCGCCCCACTGAGAAATCAATAGAGCGTATTAAGCCTCACATATCACAGGTATTCATCTCTCCTCCTCACTCTTTTCACCCATCACACCCCTTCCCTCCTACACCCCACCCATTTTGTAGTAAGTGAAACAGCCCAATGTAGCGTGCTCAAGTTATTACCATAATTATGACTTCTCTGCCTGACGAGATTTAAACCGAGCTGGTCTGTACCTGACATGGGTTCTAATTATGTGCCTGTGTATTAAGATAGGCCTTCTGAAACAAATGTTGCTGATGGTGTCTATCTTGGTCCTGGTCAGCCTTAGGGAGCATACATGCTGGAGTGGAGAGTAATGAACAAACTATTGCCCATAATGGAGATTACTGGCAGGCTGTTTAATTGCACAACCTAAGCTGCGGGTCCCACCTGCTTTTCTGTGATATTACTTTATTATGTGTCAAGAACTCACAATGGTGTGTGTGTGTGTGTGTGTGTGTGTGTGTGTGTGTGTCACATCTCCTATTACTTGTGCCTCACCACACTTTGCTAGGGACATGACATGGCGGTAGCTAAAAGCCAACAATAGCAATGCAAATTGATGAGTTGAACTCTTTGGGAATTAATGTTCTTCACATTTCAATCAATTCAATAATTTCTCTCTGTAACCAGAGGACTTTGAAAAGGGCAGCACTCTCATCTGTATGAGCATGCTGACTGCCCCACAGGACTCCAAATTCCCCAAACTATCAAATGAGCTTCTAAAGAATGCATGTGATATTTTCATTTGAACATGTTTCATTAGGATGTGTATGGCGTTCTGGATTTCATAAAGATGCACATTTTGCATTTAGTTTATTATTAATGTATTTAAGTACTTGGTGTCATTAATATTATCCGTTACACTTTTATGCTTGGTCTCATTAACATATACAGTCAGGTCCAAAATTATTGGCACCCTTGAGAAAGATGAGCAAAAAAGACTGTATGAAATAAATAATACAAATACTGAGCTAAATTGTATGCTAATACAATTGCTCAGAAAAATACAAGTAATAGAAACAATTCTCAAAAAGTAAGGAGTCAAAATTATTATATAATGGTACTGAGCCTTTTTTCTAAAATGTTTTATGAGATTGGAGAACACATTGGGAGGGATCTTAGGCCATTCCTCCATACAGAATCTTTCCAGATCCTTGATATCCTTTGTCTGCGCTTACGGACTACCCTCTTCAATTCAAACCACAGGTTTTCAGTCTGGAGACTGAGATGGCCATTGCAAAATGTTGATTTTGTGGTCAATTAACCATTTATTTGTGGATTTTGATGTGTGCTTGGGGTTATTATATTGCTGGAAGATCCACTTGCGGCCAAGTTTCAGGCTCCTTGCAGAGGCAACCAGGTTTTTGGCTTGACTGTATTTGTGGACTTGACTGTATATGCCTCATTACCCTCTTGGTGGGAACTCCAGAGTTGGTGTGCTTGCCTTGCCGGCCTCGTCTGCTAGGGTCCCCTGCCTATGGTGACGAAGCGTGTCCATCTGTTTTTGATTTGTCTCCTGCCAGAGTGAGATGTGGACCTCATGGGTCGTCTGTGATTGTAACCACTCGCTACTGGAGTTTGATTTCAGCTGTACTGTGCGCTCCTAGACAGCATGGGCTTAATTGAAGCGTGTAACCATAATCAGGATTCCCCTGTGTGTGCGTTTGTGTTTGTATGTATAGGAAGCGGTTGTATGTGGGCCTATAGACATATTATACAGTATATTTGTTTGTTTGCAGGTATGTGTAGGTGTGAGCAAGAGAGAGCCTGCACAACAAACATGTTGAATGAGGATATAACTGCAAATCCGGATTCCATTTGTAGTCTGACCCTTAAAACCCTCTGGGAAAAAGCTGCATTTGCCACTTGCCAGGAACTATTTTAATACTACCACAAATGAACTGAATTGGAAGTCCCCCCTTAAAATGGAAAATTGACAGTTGGGAATTCAACAACATTGCTAGCCACTGCTTTACTTAACCTCTTCAGTCTGTGCTTCTGCCTGGCCTTTATCCTTGACAACTGATGGAGCTGCCAGTTCTTCACAGAACATAATCAATACTCTGAAGTGAAGGGAAGTGGTCCCGTGTAGCTCAGTTGGTAGAGCATGGTGTTTGCAACGCCAGGGTTGTGGGTTCGTAATCCCACGGGGGGTCAGTATGAAAAATGTATGCACTCACTAACTGTAAGTCGCTCTGGATAAGAGCGTCTGCTAAATGACAAAAAAAAAAAAAGTGTTTTGTAGATTGTCTGTCTCTCCACCTTGGATGATAGGCTCTTGCTTTTCAACAAATAAGCATTGAAGCTCATTGTCAAACCGGTGGGTCGTTCCACCAATTCGGTGCCTTTTGAGAAGTGTAACCTGGTAAAAAAAATGTAACATTATGTTCAGCTTCATAAAAAACATGTTTTCCCATCTCAAGAGGTTAAATAGATCAAATGACTATAGTAAGTGCCTATTAAGTACCAAATAAAGGAACAGGGTTGACCGTAACAGGGTTGACGACTTTATCTTAAATCAGCCATAATCCCCTTGTGACAGGGGAATGGGTGCTTGGTGTGTGCAACAGGGAGTGGAAATTGAATGCAAACTGTTAAAACAGTTCTAGCCTGTCTATTTATGGGTAACAGGGTTGACGTGTTATACTCGACCCGCTCAGTTTTCCACCACAAAACACCAGAACATTGCCAAAAAGAGTAGAACCAGCTCCCCTGCTTTTACACTATGATTTGACAATTAGATGTTCAATGTTTATTTTGAAAAACAATATTTAAAAAGGAATAATTTAACCATATTAAAATGAGAGTTCAGTTCACTTAAGAATGAATCACTTTTCACATGAAATAAATAATCATCTTCAAAATAACTAGGGCTTTTACAATGATGGTGAAAACTTAGAGAAAGTTTGGGGTTAAGTAGGTTAAAATCTTCCATAGTGCATGGAGGGACATGTCAAAATGCTGAATTTTGGCACTTTAGCAAGTCTTTATTCATATAAAAAATTATTTAATTGTTGAATTCTCCATGTGGTCTAAATGAAAGGGCACTTCATTTAATATAACCAGCATTTATTCAAATTCAATATTGGTGCACAATTTCTACTTAAAACATCAAAGGGACGCAAAAGGCACTCTTTTCGTGGAACGACCCAGGTGTTAACTGACATAACAATTCTCATCTGTAAAAATAGCTGTTCAGGAACACAGGTGACCAATTACAATCATGTTCCCCATCTTCCACCTCTTCCAGGTAGTGTGCTGGCTGGCTCCATAGACTGTCTGGAGGCGGAGCGGGGCTGTGTGCAGGATCAGGGCTGTACGGGGGTGTACAGGGTGCTGGAGTACTGTGCTGCTGAGGAGGCTGTGTCGCCACTGGGCCCAGACGCCCGACGCGAGTGCCTGGAGGCCCAGAGCGCCCTGCAGCAGTACCACCCCCTCCAGGCCTGCAAGTGCCAGCGCGGCTCCCGCCGGGAGGAGCTCTGCCTCAGGGTCTACTGGACCGTCAGATTCGCTGGTGTGTTTGACTGTCTTTATGTTTTGTCTTTTATGTGTTCGATTGCATTTGTGTGTGTGAGATGTTTTCTGTCCTCATGGCCTCCGTGTTTTCACAGTGTATGATGAGAATGAGGTGTCTCCGTATGAGGATCTGGAGGTGGAGTTTGTGAGGCACATAGAGATGTCACGCATGGCCTCCATCATGGCAGGTAAATAACATCTACCTTCTCTCTGAATAATGACAGTCTGGGATGTTTGTGCGGTCCAGAATCATATATTTTATGATTTTGTCTTCCTTTCTCTCTTATTCATTGCCCCTTTTCCCAAAACACAATCACCTTCAAACATTCTTCTCTGTGTTATCTTCCTCTCCTCACCCTGCCACTCCTCCCTCTCTTCCCAGCTTCCTCTCTGCCTCTGGATGGGCAGAACCAGTGTCTGAAGGCAGCCCAGGACTGTGGTCTGTATGAGAAGTGTGGTTCTCTGAGGTCGGAGTATGTTGTGGCCTGCACCAAGCGGCCTCCGGGCTCCGACGGCAGCTGTAACAGACAGAAGTGCCACCGGGCGCTGCGTCGCTTCCTGGAGCGGGTACCAGAGGAGTACAGCTTCGCTCTGCTCTTCTGCCCCTGCTCCGATGCCCTCTGTGGGGAGCGCCGGCGGAAGACCATCGTACCGTCGTGTTCCTATGAGGAGAGAGACGGCAAGCCCAACTGCCTCAGCCTGCATGGCTACTGTGCCAGGGACGAGCTGTGTAGGTGAGCTGAGCTGGCTGGGGAAACATGGTTACTAGGTGTGACATCAGACTAAACTTTTCCACTCAACTCTAAGTACTGTGTTGAGGCACATTAACAGTTATAATCACAATGCAAAGATTCATAACTAGCGTAATATTTGCAGAGGGCTTAACTGATTTAATTATAGAGCATGAGTGTGAAGGGAGGTTTTGGAGAGAGTGTGAGGGTAGACAGAGGCAGAGAGGACTGGATGTACATACAGTAAGTCTTTCATCAACTACCATTTGAATCTTCAACTTCAGATCCTTAAATACAGTACAATAGTTACAGTACAAATAGTTCAGAGGTTTGAGTTCACTACAGAGAAGAGGTTGTTCAATAATCTTCATCATTAGCTGGGTTTCCATCCAATTTGCGACAGATTTTCATGCAAACATTCTAAAATCTGCATAAAAGGCTGTGCGTGATGACGTAGTTCAAATAAAAATTACTTTAGCCGTTAAATTCCCATGTACTGAATGAAAAGTTAAATGGGTCTCCGTCGCACTTTCAACTCTACTGATGGTTTTGTCACAAAAACTGTTGGTTATATAGCAAATGTGCCCATTTTGGTCTTGGCACATGCGCTCTAGCCAACAGCTCGCAGATAGTGTGGGGGTAGGCTACCTAAATTATGAGATTATTAGGGATAAGAGCGATATTATTTGTATTTGTCAAACGACAGCCAAGCATCGATCATCATGTTACCAGAATAAGACCCTCAATATTTATTGGAAAGGAGCATCAAGCTCATCACCTTGCACATTCACCAGCCTGTGAAGTTCATCATAACTTATTTAATCTGTAGCCTAATAAACTGCATGCTTTCCCGAGTCGTAGTGGGAGGACCACACAACATATTATCGCGTGACTCCAAGTTTACTTCGATATGATGGTTATTATATCATTATTTGCGCACCGCCATTTCTCGCATAAAACATTTGACTGACACAAAAAGATCCAACCATATCCAACGAACAAATTGTTCAGCCCAGTCATGACTTTTTTCGTGCGTCAGGTAACTGTGTCTGGCTCTGTCCCAGGCTGCAGTGTTTTTATTCCACCGGCTGCTCAGTGGTGTTTTGTATGGATGAGTATGCTTGGGGAGAAGGTTTAGAGGTGTTAGTCTGAGCTAGTATGAATGCACCACTGGGTTTGACTAGCAGTCTATTTCCCAGTGTTCCTATCAAGTCAATATTCACACAACAGGGTAACATCCAATGCTAATATTTGATATGTTCATAACAGTGTTAATTTTGTAAACAAAAATAGTGATTAAAATATTCATCAGATTGAGAGCTTTTCAGTGATAAGCACAATTAATATTAGCAGCACAGATGAGCAGGGCAGTTGTGTTCAGCAGTGGGAAGGATGCGTCACACCCACTACATCAGCTGGTGAGCTGTGGAGGAGCAAGCGATGAGTGTGGGCAGACAGGCAGACAGGCTCCGCTCCGGCTCCACCTCCAATTATACACATCGCACAGGCGACTTTCTTGCTTCCCCATAGCTAACCAGTCACCACCAGCCTTCTAGTTAGCTACTCTTTGCCTGGTTAAGAAACACAAGCTGCTTTACGAAATTAAAAACAATAGCTATGTTTTTCTCTCCCTTGAGTATAGAAAAGTAGGTTGTCTTTGAATTTGTACTCTAGCCCTCACACTTTTCCCGCTGCATTCCATAGCCAGGTTCTGTAGCCAACGTATCCAAGTCTCCCTCTTTTTTTCAGAGAAAACAGCTTGATTCTGGCCCTTACCGTTCAAAAGATATGACCCATAATACTGAAGCTACGTTTTTAACTTTCTATCGTGCATTGGCGGGCCACGTTTTACATTCATAAAGTATATCGCGGGCCGTTCTAAAACTAGACTACTTGCGGACAGGACTGTTAACCATTTGTTTAGGCTACACCTTGTTCAGTCATGTTACCTCATTAGCTAGTTATAGCTAACAACCTGGGGCGTGTTCAGCAGGACCAGGGTTGAGTAGGTTACTTTCTAAATGTAATCCGTTACAGTTACTAGTTACAAGTCCAAATTTTGAATCAGTAAAGTAACTTTTGGATTACCCAAACTCAGTAACGTATAGTGCCTTCAGAAAGTATTCATAACCCTTGACTTATTCCACATTTACAGCCAGTAGTGGTGCGTGGGTAAAATCACTGAGGAAGCCAAGCCAGTAAAAAAGCCATATTACAACCTATGTTGTGATAATTGTGTTGTTTGCTCTATAACCCATTGGTTCATATGCCACGTGATATACAATAAGGCTGTGACAACAAAAAGACAACAGTCACACACTGGCAGAATAAATTCAACTACACATACGTTTGTTTTATCACAAAACCGGAGAGCAACATCTGTCCGGTGATGTCCACAAAGCAAATATTGCATGTAACAAACAGTTATATCACCTGCAGCATGGTCAAGCGAGTTAATGTTTTCGACAGTTTACTAAACTACTGATTTAGAACCACAGAGACATACAGCAAGTCAGCACAAAGACAACAGGAGCACTGCCTCCACTGTTCCAGCACCATTTCAACTTAAACATTTAAACATCATCAAATCAACAAGGCTATACACTGAGGAGACAGACTAAAGAAGAATTTTTAAGCCTTGAGACAATTGAGACATGGATTGTGTATGTGTGCCATTCAGAGGGTGAATGAGCAAGACAAACGATTTAAGTGCCTTTGAACAGGGTATGGGAGTAGGTGCCAGGCGTACCGGTTTGTGTCAAGAACTGTAACGCTGCTGGATTTTTCACGTGTGTATCAAGAATGGTCCACCACCCAAAGGACATCCAGCCAACTTGACACAACTGTGGGAAGCATTGGAGTCAACATGGGCCAACATCCCTGTGGAACGCTTTCGTCACCTTGTAGAGTCCATGCCCTGAGGAAATGAGCCAGTTCTGAGGGCAAAAGGGGGTGGTGCTACTCAATATTAGGAAGGTGTCCTTAATGTTTTGTACACTCAGTGTATATGCTTAGTTTAATACACTGAAAACAAACTTTAAGATACCAAAAACAATTTAGTCCAATCAACGTTGCTAAATATCATGTGGCTGTTCATGGTGCTGATTTATGTGTGTGTGTGTGTGTGTGTGTGTGTGTGTGTATGTGTGTGTGTGTGTGCGTGCGCAAGTAAAATACTTTTTTTTGACTCACCCTACTTATAGACTAGTTGAACACCAAAGCCATCCTCCTCTCTTTCATGTTGGAAAAACGGTCTATGGCTCTGTCATACAGTATGCTTTTAGATTTTGTTGTCATAGGCTACCTACAGTGGGGGAAAAAATTATTTAGTCAGCCACCAATTGTGCAAGTTCTCCCACTTATTATTATTATTATTATTGCTTAAAAAGATGAGAGAGGCCTGTAATTTCACATTGTAGGATTTTTTAATGAATTTATTTGCAAATTATGGTGGAAAATAAGTATTTGGTCACCTACAAACAAGCAAGATTTCTGGCTCTCACAGACCTGTAACTTCTTCTTTAAGAGGCTCCTCTGTCCTCCACTCGTTACCTGTATTAATGGCACCTGTTTGAACTTGTTATCAGTATAAAAGACACCTGTCCACAACCTCAAACAGTCACACTCCAAACTCCACTATGGCCAAGACCAAAGAGCTGTCAAAGGACACCAGAAACAAAATTGTAGACCTGCACCAGGCTGGGAAGACTGAATCTGCAATAGGTAAGCAGCTTGGTTTGAAGAAATCAACTGTGGGAGCAATTATTAGGAAATGGAAGACATACAAGACCACTGATAATCTCCCTCGATCTGGGGCTCCACACAAGATCTCACCCCGTGGGGTCAAAATGATCACAAGAACAGTGAGCAAAAATCCCAGAACCACACGGGGGGACCTAGTGAATGACCTGCAGAGAGCTGGGACCAAAGTAACAAAGCCTACCATCAGTAACACACTACGCCGCCAGGGACTCAAATCCTGCAGTGCCAGACGTGTCCCCCTGCTTAAGCCAGTACATGTCCAGGCCCGTCTGAAGTTTGCTAGAGTGCATTTGGATGATCCAGAAGAGGATTGGGAGAATGTCATATGGTCAGATGAAACCAAAATAGAACTTTTTGGTAAAAACTCAATTCGTCGTGTTTGGAGGACAAACAATGCTGAGTTGCATCCAAAGAACACCATACCTACTGTGAAGCATGGGGGTGGAAACATCATGCTTTGGGGCTGTTTTTCTGCAAAGGGACCAGGACGACTGATCCGTGTAAAGGAAAGAATGAATGGGGCCATGTATCGTGAGATTTTGAGTGAAAACCTCCTTCCATCAGCAAGGGCATTGAAGATGAAACGTGGCTGGGTCTTTCAGCATGACAATGATCCCAAACACACCGCCCGGGCAACGAAGGAGTGGCTTCGTAAGAAGCATTTCAAGGTCCTGGAGTGGCCTAGCCAGTCTCCAGATCTCAACCCCATAGAAAATCTTTGGAGGGAGTTGAAAGTCCGTGTTGCCCAGCGACAGCCCCAAAACATCACTGCTCTAGAGGAGATCTGCATGGAGGAATGGGCCAAAATACCAGCAACAGTGTGTGAAAACCTTGTGAAGACTTACAGAAAACGTTTGACCTGTGTCATTGCCAACAAAGGGTATATAACAAAGTATTGAGAAACTTTTGTTATTGACCAAATACTTATTTTCTACCAAAATTTGCAAATAAATTCATTAAAAATCCTACAATGTGATTTTCTGGAAAGAAAATTCTCATTTTGTCTGTCATAGTTGACGTGTACCTATGATGAAAATTACAGGCCTCTCTCATCTTTTTAAGTGGGAGAACTTGCACAATTGGTGGCTGACTAAATACTTTTTTCCCCCACTGTAACTAAAATGCTTGCTAGCCTAACTTCCTCTCAGGGGCAACAATGAACGAGCTAAGTTAGCTAACTAGTTAATGTGAGTCTACTAGGCTACATCTAGGCTACATATTGAACTTCAATCATCTCAGGCCAGT